TAAGTCATTGTGATAAGTGAAATGAGGTAAGAAAGTCAAAGATATATTTTCGAGGATAAGCCCCGTGATAAGATGCGTGAAATAAAAGCTTACTGGACATTTCAAGAGGAAAATTGACCCCCATTCGTTTGATAAGTAACTCAATATGTCAATAATATGTCAAATCTCTCTTATTGGATAGTACTTATATCATCAGACACGACAAAAAGAAGTTGCTCAATTACAAATAATAATTCTATGCACTTTCCTAACTCAAACTTGTCTTGAAATATATGAGTAATTTTTTTTGAGCTTAATATATTTTTGTGCCTGATCATATTCTCCGCAAGCAAAAATAATCGAAATAATTTAAAATTATAAGAACGTATGGAAATTTATTGCAATTGGATTTCAGAGTATGTAAACAGGCTTATTTTTCTACAGAATTTCACGACCCTTATGTGACTGGAATTCCATAGGTTCTATCTTATATATATATACAAGAATTGCAAATATATATATATATGTCAGGTTTGAAAAGATTAACTTTAAAATTAAGGGAGCAATAAATAAAAATAGAGCGAACTCTTTATCATCGCGTAAGGACTTGTGGGTAAGTAAGCCTATTTAAAGGTGGAGCGAGCGCTGACGAAGGCGAACGCGTACTGGAGAGAAGTAGCTGGTGAACTTCTGGTCGAAGTACCGTCTATTGTTCTATAGTGTTGGCGCCAAAGGGACGCCATGTTGGATTGGACGAAATAAATACGAGTTAATAATAGAAGATGTCTCATCATTTAACCCGCAGGCCCGGGCCTGATATATAATATATATATATATATATATATATATATATATATATATATAAGAATTGAAAATATATATTTTGATATCCATCTTCTTATTGTAATATTCTTACTGAAAAGATCGTTTGTAGTTGTGACATATAAGAAGTAAATCAAAAAGTTCAAAAATAGATAGATGTTTGTTTCCTTTCGCTCTAGTTTACAGAATGCTATTATGATCAATATTCGAAATACATTAGCTTTTTCAAACAGAAAGTGTAACACTTCGAAGAAACTTTTGCTTACTTAATAATGCAAGCTGAGAGATATTCGTTTGTAGTGTTCTTAAATTTAAAGAAAGAGAATATATTGATTTATAGATTGTATAAATGTATCTGGTAAAAAAAAAAAGATGAATAGTGTAAGGAGTAGAAGTATTAAACACAAGTATAGCCTCAGAACAAATGCATAAGAAACTTGTACCAAGATAATAACACACTAAATATCTTATTTCATACTTATCCGATTAGGCTATAATACACCAAAATAAAGCAACAATATTATTACATTACAGCAGAAAATATTTCAAGTATTTCAGGTTCAAATATTAGTTTCTAGTTCCGTGGAACAAGCATATAATTAACTGAGTCATGCGATTGCTATCCTTCAAATCTATTTCAACAAACACATAGTTTACCATTGAAATTACATATTTTTTCAAGAATTCTCGATTAATATTGAACCCAAATTATTTCCTTTGTTCCCTTTTTATCCCTTTAAAAAATGCTATTTTGGACTTGATTGTACTTGTGGAAGATACTAGAATATATATTATAGGTTCTGTTTGGGTTATCAAGATGGTTAGGGCAATGTGAGATCATACGGATTTTATTAGTCATTGAAATGTTTTGTGGATGGAAAAAAATGTGAAGGGATCCTGTTGTAACTTTCAGTTTTTTCTTCAGTGATAGAAAAGTAACAAATGAATAAAAAATTAGCAGCAAAATGAATTTTAGCCCTTTTATTGATTGTTCGCTGGTGATTTCTATATACTAATGAAAATATCGAGGGGGGGGGGACCTCTTAAGGTACTTGACTACTTGCGACAACTTTAAAAAAATGGAAATATGAAGATTTTTTATGGTTTTTAGATTTGTTTAGTACGCTTTAAGAAAAATATTCTAAAAATAAGAAGAAAAATATAAATTTATTATTACTTATATATTTGGGAAAAATTGGTTAAAATTTACAAAAAATAACATAAACGCGGTCCATTCTGCATCAAACGTTTATAAACAGAATTTCAATTTTTCAATTCTGATGTGTTGCTAGGTTATTCCTTTTTGAAATGACCTTCGGGATAAGAGATTTTAATTTTTACATAAACTAGAGCACCTTATCTTTGATATTACATGAAATTGATTAAAAGAGCAGTGGTTATATTCACATAAGGGAGTGTAAATTTTGTAATAAAGCATTGATTGATCAATCTGAAGATTAAAACACTTCCACTATTATACAGAACGTATACAAAAAAAATTTCAGTTAATTATTTTCAAAACTTTTTGAACAATCGCTGCCCCCATTTGAGTATTTAAAAAAACACATTTCGAGTAAAACGAGTTTTAAAGTATGACATCTTGCTTATAGTAATGGCATCTGCTTTTACCAAAACACATGTAGTTTTTGTTCTAGTGAACAGAAAGTTATAAACTAGGTACTTTTATAACGCTAATAAGATGACATAGGAAATAAAATCATAAAAAAATTCATCAATTTTGGCAAAATTCACAATTTTAGGGTATTTGGATACCTTAAGTGTGGCTTTTGAAGACCATGTACCCGGTTTCCTAATATGTACGTTAAAATTTAGAATTTTATACAGAACTGCACTAATAACAGAATGTATGTAATATGAACGTGTGTATCTCAGAGTGAGTGAGGAGAGAGAGTATGCAGAAATTAATTTATTTTAATAATTATAGTCCAATATATATAATTCAGCAAATGGTATACTATCCCTTGTGCTGAATTTCGAAAATGTAAAGAGTGCTTTCGTAATAATAATAAGATTTATTGTACTTGAATTTTTCTTATGCATAATGCATTGACAATTTCTGAAGAATTTTAACTCCTTTAAGGTCACGCATTCGAAAGTGACTAATTCACGTAAGAATATACAAACCAAATAGTTTAGAGTTTAAGAAAGATATTTAAATTAATATTTCTATATGGGTTTGTCGGCCTGGTGCTTAGTGGTAGCATGCCCACTTCCACCCCAGTTAGAGTCGACAGATTTTCTGGATGTGAAAATCATAGACACGCATGTCATGTGATTATGTAGCATGTAAAAGAACACTTGAGTATCAATTTGGCTCTGGTACTCTCGGCAAAATTATATCACGGCAATATATAGCATCAGACAAGAAGTTGAATTAAAATTAATTCAAGCGTCGAGATTTGGTATCTGGTTGCGACGGTCACCACTAGATGGGGACACCATGAAATGGCTCTCACATTTAAGGACTTGCCGTGCCTTCAAAGACTTAGTCACCAATATGCAGCCCATTAGGGGAAAAAATAAGAGCCAGATATACAGAGGAGAAAATGATTTAGCTCCGTTAAGTTTATTTTATTTTAATAATCCAAATTTTTTTTTCTCTGAGTCCCTTCTAATATAAATGTAACGTTTCACAAAAGATGTTTCTGAATTGTAATTTTTACAATGAAAAAATGCCTGTAAATATTCTATAGCTGACTTAAAACAACAAATAAAATGCTAGGGAAGAAACGAATTTCACGTACATGAATTCAAAATCCAGGATTTGCCTGCTTTCTCTCATATTTGGTTTTAATATACTCTTTTCCTTCAAATATAGTTTTTAATCTCTTGTAATATGCTTATATTCTGATGATATATAACAAATTTAAACATTAAGGTTGGAACAGAGATTCATTCTCTTCCTTTTTACATTTCTTAAAAAGTAAACTGCGTACTTTGGAATCATTCGACATAAGAGGATTATTATTTCCTACATTTTACGTGAATTACTTTTGCATTCAGTGAATTTGATCGAATTAAAAGTTATCTACGAGGACTGCTAAACAATAGAATCCAAGCTCTGAACATTTTTATAAAAAGATCAATACCCCCACATAAGTTATATATTATTAATTCACTTCCGTATACAAAACATCCTATAATGATATGCAGCTCATTTTTGTTTGAACAAATACATTATTTTAGCGCACAGATTACGTGTTTGCTCCATATTTCATTTATCATATTTTTGTTTTGTTTGTTTATTTGTTGAAAACTTTAAGATGATTACTGAAAGCTTCTGCTTTTTAAATAACAATGGAATATTTCTACGAATGGGATTTTTCTAAAAATGGAGAACATTAGGGGTATTGCGGATCACTTAAAGATTTTATTCACTGAAAGACAAAGCAAACAAATAATATATATATAATGATGACGGATTTAGTAAAGGATGACGTATTTGGGCGAATATTTTGATAGCGTGGCCGGTGTTGGTTTTTACAGGTAGACTTGGTCGAGGAATAGCTATGTCTTGAAAGAATACTGCTCCATTGTAGTTTTCATCTTTCGTTTATTGAACATCACCAAAAAAAAAAAAAAAAAAAAGTGCAATCACATTAAAATAATTTACGGAGTTTCACACACACAAAGCAGAAGCAACACTTAGCAGCGACGCGGACACATAGTCGACAAAACAGACAAAGCACAAGAGAGAGAGCAACCGATGGCTCCGAGCTTTTTATACTGGCGGTGAAGGCCGTACGACTCTTTTGTAACAGGAGTCGTGATTGGATGCGAATGCGCGCGAACAATTAGATTAAGATTAAGATTATAACTGTCTTGTACCAAAGGATTAGGAAATAATTTAACGGGGTAAAGATTTAGAAGAAGTCATTACATATATATATGAATTTTAAGTGAATTCCTACTTAGGTCAACAAAGAAAAATTTAATTTTAGTTACTTTTTATTAAATAGTTACTACTAATATAAATATGCATATACATATGACAGAATCACAATATTATGTGACAAAATAGAAAGCTATTTTCCTTGCAATTTTTAATTTTCCTTTCTGAATATGGTGTTAGACTATTTTTGTAAAACAGTAACAGTATGTGTTACTGTTTACTCATTAATCAAATTTAATTATTTTATTAAAATAGTATAGTAAAAATGAAATCACATTCTCAGAAATTAGGGGTGGGGTTCGAACCCACGATCTTTGGATTAGAAGTCCAACGCGCTATCCAACTGCAGGAAAACAACGAACGCTTTTCCTTTCTATAAATGGTGTTGGTCTATTATTTCCGTTAATTGCTATTTATTCATTTTTTAATTTAATTAATGAATAATATTTGCAAAAACTGTATTTACATCAAGTGTCATCCACTACAAGTTTAAAAAATGTATTTGAACTTAAATGGATGAAGAAAGTATTTTAATAACGATTGAAAATTTGAGTAAGATTTATAAATGTATACATATATATATATACTAGCTGTTACCCGCCCGCTTCGCTGGGTATTTCATGATGTTTTATAATTTTTTACTGCTTATATATATGTATAAATTATTGATATCTAAGTCCTAGCATTAAGAATTCGATTGTATTGAAAAATATAATTAGACCTGTAACTGTCACCTGTTTATAAATAAAAAGGGCAGAACTCATCTAATTTTTATTTTCTAAAAATCTCTAAAATTGAAGTATAGAATGATGTTTGCTCTTTCGTAACCCAAAAACCAAGTGGATTCCCGCAAAACCAATTTTCGCGGTGGATCTCTACTCCGTAAATTGAACATGCAAGCCAAATTTCAAGTCTAAATCAAACAGAAAAAAAAACAAAAGTTTTACTATCAATATCCCCGTAATCCCGTTGAGAGCCGTTTTCCAAAATAACCTCTCTTAGCGGATTTCAATTCAACAAAAGAAAAATGCAAACCAAATTTCATTATTATAGTCCTTGTAGCTCGAAAAAAGGATTTTTTTTTGTGTCAATACGTCCCAGTAACCCCTGCACCCCTCCGCAGAACTTGATTTACTTAAAATACATTCTTAGTGCATCCCTATTCAACAAAAGAAACATGCTTAAAAAATTTCAAGTATATGGGTCTAACAATTAAAAACAGGAATTTTTTTCTGTAACTCCTCTTGACACCTCGCAACCATCCTTGGGGTCAATTTTCGTTTTACTCTTTGTTAGAGGAATTATATTCCATGAAAGGAACATGCCTACCAATTTTCAAGCAGGATGATCAAATAGTTTAAAAATGGAAATATTTATCGATTACACCTCTTAATCTCCCGAAATTAAACTTGGTAGTTGATATTCGCAAAACCCATTTTGTAGCGGTTCTCTACGAAAGGAATTTGCTTATCAAATTTCAAGACTGTACGTCTAATAGTTTAAAAATGGGGATAATTATCTATAACGCCACTTCGGTGTCTGTTTTCAAAAAACCCATTTTGTAGGGGAATTGCACTCTATGAAAGGAATCTGCTTAGCAAAATTTGTGCGGCCAATAAATTAAAAATGCAAAAAAAAAATTATCAATAACGCCCTTTGAACCCCCGCAACGCCACCTAAGGGTCTATTTTCAGGAAACACATTTTGTAATGTATCTCTATCCTATGACAGGAATCTGCTCACCAAATTTCAAGACTGTGCGTCTAATAGTTTAAAAATAGAAATAATTACTTATATCTGCCCTTAACCCCCGCAACACCCCTTGGGGGTCAATTTTTTCAAAACCCGTTTTGTAACGGATATGTACTCCATGAAAGAAACATTCCTACCAATTTTCAAGCAGGTAGGTCAAGTAGTTTAAAAACGAAAATATTTATCTATTACGCCACTTAATCCCCCGCAACGCCACTTAGAGGTATGTTTTCACAAAACCTTCTTATAGCTGATCTCTACTCTATGAAAGAAATCTATTTATCAAATATAAAGACTGCGTCTAATAGTTTAAAAATGGAAATAATTATCTATAACGCCCCTTAAGTCCCGCAACGCCACTTGGGGGCAATTTTCATGAAACCCATTTTGTAGCGTATCTCTACCCTATGAAAGGAATCTGCTTACTAAGTTTCAAGACTGTACGTCTAGTAACTTAAAAATCGGAATTTATAGCGCCCCTTAAACCCCCGTCCGCCCCCGCAACACCCCTTGGGGTCAATTTTTTCAAAACCCATTTTGTAGCGGATATTTACTCCATGAAAGAAACCTACCTACCAATTTTCAAGCAGGTAGGTGAAGTAGTTTAAAAACGGATATATTTATCTATTACGCCCCTTAATCCCCCGCAACGCCACTTAGAAGTCTGTTTTCACAAAACCCGTTTTGTAACTGATCATTATTCTACGAAAGGAATCTATTTATATATATCAAATTTAAAGACTGTGCGTCAAATAGTTTAAAAATGAAAATAATTATCTATAACGCCCTCTAAGTCCCTGCAATGCCACTTGGGGGACGATTTTCACCAAACTCATTTTGTAGCGGATCTCTACTGTTTGAAAGGAATATGCTAACTCTCAATTTCAAAATTGTACATTGAGTAGTTTAAACATGGAAACAATTATTTATAACACCTCTTAACCCCCGTAACGCCCCTTGCGTTTCGTATTTCGGAAAATCCGTTCTTAGCTGATGTCTACGTTATGAAAGGAACATGTCTACCAAATTTCAAGTATGTAGGTTGAATAGTTCCAGAGATATCGTGATTAGTCAGTCAGTCAGTCAGTCAGTCAGTCAGTCAATCAGTCAGTGAGTGAGTCGCTTTTCTCCTTTATATATATATATATATATATATATATATAGGGAGAAAATCAACTAATAGTAAGAATGAAAAAAGAGACTTTACCTCATTTAAAATCAGGCATGTTTTTGCTCAGAAGGATGGAAATTACTAGTAAGAAGGCACGGAAAAGAATTGAAAACGTACATTTTCCACTTGAAATGCCGCCAAAAAATTTTTACAGCTTTTTTTATAGTAAGCATTTTAAAACATGTCAATCAAAATAATTATATGCTTGATAATTTCAATGGTGGGGTTAGTTAGAAATATTAGCAATAGATGACACAGTAGGTGGTTTGACGAGACCTGGTGAAAAGCGGAAAACAGCAATCTGTGTTTGTGTGTTAAGCCTGAATGATTTTCCAAACGTCAAATAGTGAAACATTCTTGAATGTATGGTTTTAGTGTGCAATTAGTACACGATGCTACTTTTGTAATGCAATAAGTAAAACGTTTTGAACCGCACACGATACGCCAAGATGTGAGTCAGGCTGAGATAGAGCAGAGTTAGCTAGAGCTGGCTCTGCTCTATCTCGCCTGACTCTCCTCTTGGCTACCATAGCGTTAAGAGGATCATTGCTTCTAGATTCAAGACCCGTCTTCGTGAGATTGTTAAGAACACTGCGAATGGAAAGAGTTGGGGGTCTTTAATAGAGAGTCCAAATCCTTGAGACCTGCCAAGACCTGTGGGAGTCGCAAACTTCAGAGTCCAGACTGGACATGACTACCTTAGAAAGCCCCTTTTCAGACTTGGTTTGGCTGATTCTCCAACGTGCCCACTTTGTTCTAATGGTGATATGTGTGTGGAGACCACCTAGACTCTTGTCCTGGACTTACCGACGTAGTAGCTGTTAATGCTGCTAACAAATTCTCTATTTACGTGTGTATTTCGGAACTGTATTGGGCTGCCCGACATAGACTGATGTCGGTCATGCCTAAGTCTGGCGTAGGTTTTTAAAAAAAAGGTACGATTCTAAGTATCTTTACCATTATTATTCCAATTTCTAAATCAGGGGTCAGCAACCTTTCAGCTGCGGCGTGCCAAACCAACCTAACAAATGATTCAGCGTGTCACACAGTAGGGTATTTTTGAAACAATTCGATTCCCGCGATAATTGCATGTAGAGTTGGGGTATAGAGGTTGTGAAGGATGGTCCACCCCATCCATCAGTGTACGAGAGTTAGAAGGAAGGTTAGCTATAGTCGAAACAAAAATATTTTATTTACAAGTCTCAACAATCTAACAAACTTGAACTATCCAAGATTAGGAAATACTCTTTAATGAAAGCAAAATCGAGGAAGACGATACACGAGTTATATTTAATTATAAATGGGAAATCACTTACTTTAGGAAAGTCTTAGCTGTATACATTCCAAGTAATCTAGGATGCGTCTAAGTTGCTCTATTTCAAGCCGACGTTAATCCTGATTAAATATGTAATTGACAAGTCGTCAAACTTAAATATTAAGCAAATAATCTACGGAACACTCACGCCTAGCTTTTTGTTAATTTACGTTAATCGCTCACTGCTATCATTTAGTTTCAAACTTCTCTCTCCCTCGAAACTGAATGTTTAAATAAAAGCCTTGTTTTGTGTGCATCTGTCACATTTTCTTCTTCGAGAGAGAGTTTTCAACAGAATATTTAAAGAAAGAGTTTCCACAAGAGAATTCATAGGAGGTACGCGAATAGATCCATTACGAGGTCAATAATATATATATTTACGTTTTACTGTATATTAATTTTGCATCAATAAAATATATTTCCTTACATAAAAATAACACAAAATAAAACCATTTTTTCAATAAAAATAAAATTAAAATTGTACATATATTACGTATTTTTAAGCTTATTTATTAAAATAAGAAGTAGGGACATAAAGTACAAGTATTTCCTTTTATAATAGTTAAATAAAAAATTTTAATGCGAATCTAGAGCTTACACCTCTCTACTTTCATATCGCAAAATCAAGGGTATAATTTTTGACTTGCAATTTAACACAATTTTGAGCCTTTAGTCGCTAAACGATTTCTTTGCAGATTCGAATTTTTTTTCATATGATGAAAGATTTTCACTTATTGTTAGTTGCGTAGAACCAAACACGGAAAGCAGAGTAAATGCAATTTTCTCTTCAAACAATTAGATCGCCAAAGCAATCACAATGACAGTCAAGAAGTTACAAAATAACTGTAAAATTATCTTTAGAGCTAGTTTTCAAATTTTTTCTTAATTTCGCAAATGTTCATAATTCTGAAGATGTTTGTCAAAAAAAAAAGTCAATTACAATTTTATCAACTTCCATCCATTCAAATATTGACAGATTTGTAGAGTAGTTCCTAGAATACCACCAAAAATTGTATCCTGTGCCACATGTGGCACGCGTACCATAGGTTGCCGAACTCTGTTTTAGAATATCCAATCCTCGATTACCTTAAAGGGAATCTGAATGACCTCTTTT